GGCGGCATGACCTTCCTCGCGTTCGAGTACCTCAAGCAGTCGGCGCCGCATGGCTTGACCTGCAACGCGCTGAGCCCGTACCGCATGCGGGTCAAGGCCGACCCGAACGCTGCCACGTCGGCCACGTGCACGTCTCTCGACGTCGTGTCGCAGTGGTCGTCGTCGTCGTCGTACCTCAGCATCCAAGTACGCATGCGCAACGTCCTCGAGCCCACCTCACCTGCCAGTAGAACAGCTACGACGATGTCATGAAGGCGCTGCAGAACGGGCCTCTGAGCATTAGCATTGATGCGAGCGGCGCGGGCTTCCGCCATTACGGCAGCGGTATCTACGACGCGTCCGACTGCAAGAGCGATGGCGTCACGGTCGACCGTACGTCGCTCTCTTTCTAGTTGAAGCTGCAAAGGAGCGTGATTTTAGACGCCGTCATGCTCATGGGCTATGGCGCCACGGCCGGTGGGGAGCTCTACTGGATCGTACGCAACTCGTGGGGCACCATGTGGGGCGAGAACGGTCAAATGCGCATGAAGCGGACGCCGGCAGCGTCGACCTCCAAGTTTGGCCCGTGCAACGCCTTTCTCTATGCGACGCAGCCGACGGGACTGAATTATGTGAGCACGAGCAAGTGCGTGACGAGCCTCGCGTCGACCAACGATGACGACGCTGCGTCGATGCACTACTTGCCGTCGAGCGGGCTTTTTTTCGGCGTCGCATCGGCGCTCGCAGCCCTCGGCCTTGCGGGGGCAATCGCCGGCGAGTGGCGCCTTCGGTCGGCCTTTCCGAAGCAAACGTACGTCGAGAGCTTCCTCAACCACCAGCTGCCGAGCCGCGAGCAGCTCGTTGCGCACATGGCCAAGAAGAAGATCAAAGCCGACGCGCTCGTGTAGGGACTCTCGGCCCTAAAGAGACCACTTCCTCGAAGGGTCTACGCTCTACCCACTATAACGGAGCTCTCTGTCCACTTTAACGGAGCTCTCTGCCCACTTTAACGGAGCTATCTGCCCCCTTTAACGGAGCTTTCACACACGATACGTTGGGTATGCTAATCGTTTGACAGTGAACGTCGTTTTGACGAAAATAATGCAGAGGCGACTAGGGTTGTAGCGCTGGATTTCATGGCGTGTCACTGGTAAATATGTACGGTGGCGACACCCTTCGTCTCGAATGGTGGGGTTAGGGTCCGCACCTGATCGCGTCCAACACGCATACGTGCTCGTCTTCCACGTCGTTGGCCTTGAGCGGCACCCTCGACTCTGGGGACTGGTGTCCTTCAAGGAGCCGACGAGCCGGCGGCGTCGTGGCTGCCGGGTACCGCGGCGTCGGTGGTGTTGGACCCATGCTCGTTCGTGGTCGGCAGGAGCGTCGACGGTGCGTGGCGCATGGCGGTTGCAAACGGCGCGCTCGTCAGAGGCGGCTCGGGTGCGGCGATGTCGGCTGGTCGCTGCGCAAAGCTGTACCAGAGTCGTCCACTTTTCTGGTACTTGGGCAGAATTTGCTGGCACATCACGCGTAGCAAGTCGGTCTCGAACGCAGCGTAGAGCTGGTCGAGCGTCTCGCCGACGATCGTGTCGGGGCGCGCGCGGACCACGGAGGCCACTTTAGGCGCCATGCTGAGGCCCGTCATGGTCACGAGCGGCCCGTTCGGACTCATGCAGTCGTTGTAGACGACCGCGGGCAGCACTTTGCGCTGCTTGTGCAGCTGCACGAGGCGCCACGACAGCGGCTCGTGGGTCCGCCCCAACGTGTCGCAAAAAGCCAGAAAATCCGAAAAATAATCGTCGAGCACCAAGAACCGCTTCACGTCGTCCATCTCAAAGCGCCACGGCAGCGTGTCCGTGTCCTCCGCCGTCGACTTGTTGGAGCGAAAGCTCATGGTGCGCGCCGACATGGCGCGTGCTGAGATCGCGTGCACGTGCGGCCCGACGCCGGCGATGCGCCTGCCTACAGTGGTGGGATGAGGGCTAGGGTCTGTCGCGTTGAATGAAAAACGTGAGTATGTACTTTTGCGGTAGCCGTCAAAGTACCAGAACGTAAGGTTCAAGTGCAGCACGACGAGAAAGGTATAGTCGAGGTACAAGGTGTAATATCCGTCCCAATGCAGCGCCAGTGCCACAAGAACGACGCCAGCCACGAGAAGCGCCGACATGCAGAGGCCCTTGCTCGTCTTGTAATGGATGGTCCGGAAGCGCTCGACCGCCTTGCCGTGCGCGCGGTCATACAGGAGAGAAATGTACTTGCAACCAATGGCCCACACGCAGCTTTGGCCCACTTGTATCCAGTAGAGCGACTAGGTAGAAGACATACAAGCCTCTCTCAACATCGCATGCAACACCAACGTACTCGGAAGGCATCGTCGTCTTGGCACGTCGCTATGCGCAGCGCAAAAATGGACCAAGGTGTCGCCGCGAGCGGCGTCATAAACAATAGAAAGCAGACGCTGGCACGGCGCATCGAAGGCTGCCTCGTGGTTGCGACAGCCTCGACACCGCGCCGCGGTGGCGCGTCGGCCGACTTGCAAAAGACGATCAGTACTGAGAGATGTCCGAGGAGGTAGAGGCCACTATGAGTGCGCGTCGTATAGAAAGTCGCTGCGGATGGAGGTCGTACCTGGACAAGGCCGGGAGCACGTAGCGCAGGAGGAAGCCGACAGCGCACGGGACAGCGTCGCCAAAGAGAACCACGAGCGGCAGAGTGAGGATCGCGACGACGCTCGAGAGCGAGACGAACGACATGGTGTAGAGATACCAGTCGTACTTGCGGCCTCGAATGGCGGCAAACGAGAGAAGGACTGGTGTCGTCGCGCAGCCCAAAAGGTGGACGAGCAGCAGCAGCGCGAGCAGCGAGACGCTTGAGATCAATCCGATGGCGGCCACCGGCGCCATCGCTCGGAGCCTATTTTGAGACGCTCGGAGGGCCTTTCTGCTGCGTCGGTTTTATCCCAGGATTGCTCTAGAACTTGGTTTTACCTAATTGATCAAATGTCGGCTGTAGCAAAGATATCCTATGCGTTTGGTTTTATGCAAGCGCATCTCCAGTTTGCTTAGAGATACCAAATAGCATCATGGGCGCACGCCAAGCCATACGACGCACATCTGCGATGGTATTGCAAGCTTGAGTCCAGCACCGCGTGGCTTGGTGCACCCGTGACCCACACGGTGACGGGATGTTCCTCTGGTCTGCACAGAGTCTCTTCCCTTCCAAGTCACTATGCCCGCCAAAGACCTTGATTCGGAGTGCAAACGTCGTCCGTAGCCATCTCTAGCTTGCATCGATGGACGGGTAGCGACCCTTCGTGCTACTCGTACGCTGTCGTTGGCCACGGAGGCTGGCAGCCTTGGATGACACCTCGTTTATAGGTTCCTTCTCCAACTGTTCTGAGGTCGCAATCGTTTCCGTCCTCGACACCGTCGTGCTCCCGCCAAGATCTTATGGCAGTGTACAGCAGCAAGACGCAATGGCTTAGTTGCTTGTCTACCACACGGCGGCCGGCATGGTTGGTTTCGATGCAGTGGCATGTCGGGTGCACCGAGACTTGGATCGCCTTGTCAACTGGTCTCGGCCGCTCGTGCATAGCCCCAGTCGCCCGAGAACACGAGCGCTGGCGTCTCGTTGTCCCAGAGCGCAATGCGTCGATGGGCCGGCCACGCGGCCACGTCCGCCGCCGCCGCGACGCGCAGCTGGTAGATCTCCACACGACACAGCAGTCTCGTCTCTTCCTCTGTCGTCACCCGCAGCGTCGCGCAGTAGCTCGTCTGGTTGACGACATCGAGCGTGTAGCAGCGCAGGTCGATCGCGTCGGGACCAAGCCCACCGACGTAGTCGCCCTCTGCCATTTCGGTGCATCAACAAACGTCCTCACATGTGACGACGCGACGTACCGAGATATCGGGTCGCGCCGGCCATGGTCGACTCGCCGTTGGGCCACGTTCGGTGCACGTGCGGCCGACCGTCGAGCACAAAGCAAGTCGGCTGGCTCACATACACACGCCAGACCGACTGCACCTAGAAACGAGAGGCTCGAGTGCTTGGAGGTTGGATCATCGTCGTCGTACGTGCAGCTGTGGACCAAGCAGCGTCGTGCGCACGTGAAAGAGACTCGAGGCCCAGCGCACGAGCGTCGCTGCCGAGAGCTGCCATCCGTTCTGGCTCGCCACGTGGACACTCGGTGCGTCGCACACCCAGTGCCCGCAGAGCCACGACCGCGCACGCATCGAGCCGAGAACGCGGTGCTCTGGCCACACGCTCTGCGCGGCCTCGGCGCTCTAGACACCAATCTCAAACCTCAAAACGCAACATTCAAACCGCGACATTCAAAGCAAGGGATTACCAGCGCGACTTCGCGGAAATGGGCCACGCACGCTTGGTAGCCAAACACAAAGAAGCTCTCGGTCAAGAGCCGACTCGTCATCTCGGTCGAGAGACTCGGGAGGGACGCGAGAGCTTCGAGCGCGATTTGCGCCACCGACGTCTCGTGCTGCTTGGCCAGGAACGCCTCCGACACGCTATGCAGCAGCTGCACGCAGTCGCTGTAGGCGCGGGCGAGGTCGGTGCGCTGGAGAATGCAGTCGCGGTGCGAGCGCACCACAGCCTCGTACTGCCTCCGATTGTGCGGGTGCAAGAGGTGGACCAGCCAGTCGACAAGGACATGGCTCGTGCGGTCCGTCGTCTGTGCAAGATCAAGAAGAACCCTACCCCCACTCGCAGGTAGATACCTGGTTGTTGCTGCAGGATGGCAGGAGCAGCTGGTGCATCGCGCAAGGTACCGGCGACAGGTACTGCACGAGCTTGTGCTGCGACGCGGCCGAGACGGTCTCGACCTGATCCACGTACAAAAGAAGCAGACCCAAGTGGTAGGCCATGCGCTGCGTGCGACTCGACACGAGCGCCGTCGACGTCTCGTGCTCGGGTGCCGGCACCAGCACCGCGTCGTCTCGTGGTGCACTGCTGCTGCGGTATGTGGCGATCGTAAAGCCGGGCGACGTCGCCTTGGCCACGAGCCGCCACATCCCACGCGGCGTCACCTCAAAGACGTACGCCTAGGTCGTCTATCATGGATCATGACGCATCGATGGTGTAAACAGACCGTCACGTGGTGGCGACAGTCGCGGATCGCTTGGCTGCGGCTGCTCTTCCAGCCGTAGTCCAGCCGTCGGCGAGGTCGACATTGAAGCTGCTCGCGAGCACATGCTGCGTCTGCATCAGGAACCATCGCTGCCGTACGATCCTAGACGACTACCTCGGAGACCAC